TTCCTTCAGATTAGCCTATCAAAATATTCAGACAATTATGCTAATACAGAAACTTTTTTTTCTATATCCCTATATTCTACTGTTATAATATACAGAATAAAAGTTGATCAGAAAAAAAAACCCAGAAAAATTTAGTCATTAGGTCTTCAACATAACACACAAGTATTTGTATACATCTGAAAAATAGATTGATTTTAGCAGTGTCCACCCACATATTTGGCACAGCACAACAAAACAGAGATTTACTTACTGTCAGAAAAATTAGGAAAAATACTCTATAAACATTTTCAAACCACAGTTCTCTTTTTGTCTAAGGCAACAGCTAAGAACTCTTTATTACTGCTTCTTCATTTATTCTCTAAATGGGTGCCCACTCACAGCAGTTCTTACTTAGGCTGGTTTCTGGAAAAGGGTGTAGTCAAACCAAGCTGCACATGATGAACTTGTTTTGTTTTCTGGGTTTTTTTTTTTTTTTCTCAATTATTCTGCAGGGAAATGACTGTTCTGTGGTTGGTTGGGAATAAAACAAACCCTATGTTTGTTCACTTGGCCTTTCAACTCCAGGGATAAAAGGGGAAATGATAAACAAGGAAAATAAACCTAGTCTGTCCAACATGATGAGATCAAGACGGAGCAAGAAGCAAGGAAAGAGTAAAAGCAATAACTAACCAAACGAAGCAGGGACATTGGTATGAGCAATCTTTATTTTTTTATTATTATATATTTTTTTACTGCTGATAACTAAACACAACTACCAATTATATATTTGACTAAGTCAGACTAAGTGGGCAGAACATGCTGGAGCTGATTTTTTTTTTTTTTTTTTTTTTTTGTCTAATAAAGCTAAGCAATCCATAGTCAGTCTTGGAGAAATTCCTAGGATGGACAAATAAAGAATAATGAACAAATTCCTTTTTCTCACTCTGTTCATAATCGATGCAGGATTTCATAAGAGGTATGAACAAAATAAAAGTAAGTGAATTGCCAAGGACTAAAAAAACATATAAAAGATTGAGGTGAATTTTTGTGCATGAAAATTAGAAAAAACTGAAACGTATTCAATTCTTATTGCATAGTCTATCTCTCCCTGTAAAGAGTTGCAAACTTTTCCTGACCTGCCACAGTAAATGGCAAAACAGGAAATCAAAGTCCATGAATTGGGAAATCTCAAATATTTGACATGACTCCCAATCCACAGATGTTAATAATCATAAAGCTGAGAGATGTCCTGGAGTAAACGGGGATAATTTTAAAAACAAGAACAGTTAAAGCCATGATACTGTGTATATATATATTTCTCTCCTCAGCAATTGGTTCTATTTTTAAAAACTGTCAACTGTGAAATATTACATGTCTTCTACATTGCAAATTGTCAAAAATAAATAATAATAATAACATAATAAAGATGTTCTAAAGGTTTCATTGGGTGAGGGAAAAGGTCACACTTAAAATTTTATATCAGTAATAGAACAAAAATTCAAAATTTCTTTTAAATCATGCAGAATATGGTGCAAGTTTTTATTCATTTTTGCTGTAATTGTTTTATATCCTTTATAATCTATTTTAAGAATCACGTTTACTCAGCCCTCTCACGATTGTATTAAAATTTACAGCTACAATATCAATAATTATTTAGATTAGATGTTTTATTAGTTTCATTTCTTACCATTATTTCTTGTGTATACTTTGTCTTCCTCTTTATTCTGACTTATTTTCATATTTGGGAGGCCATTTTCTTTATTTAAATGTGAAAATTTCCCCACTAACAGTGACCTAATTTGATGAGAAGTGCCCATCCTCCAGCTAGGACATTGAAACACTGGGTAAAATAAATCCTAAAACAAAGTTTCAAATATATAATTAAGCTTTTAAAAGAAAGTAGAAAAGATAAAGGAAAGAAATTAATAATCAATGGAAGAAACAAAGAAAGTCATATCCCCAGGTGTTAAAAAATTTAAGGGTAATTAAAGTTTCCCTTCAACTGTGAGTAGCATTTTAGACACCCCAGCAGTCCGAGGTTATATCGGACTGAGACCCAGGTCTCTGGTGTTTTAACGCCCCTGTAACCTGAACTTGGTCCTTGACAGTTTGGGAAGCTGGAATTTATATCCTTGCATGAATCCAAAAGCTTCGCAGGACTGTTCAATGCTACAAACACACTGGAAAAATTTCACCTGCTACTCCAGGAAAAAGTAAGGATGTGTGTTTGCTGCCCAATCTGAGTATACTTCCCTAGAAAAAGAAATTCCAAAGGACATATAGCATATGTCAGGTACAGGAGACAGGAGAAGGATCGAATTTATTCTCCCTGCATAACAACAGGGACAATGTCGTAGTGCGTGCACTCTGGAGCCAAACTTGGGTTCAGAGTCTGGCTCTGCCATGTGGTAGCTGTGTGACTTTGCACAGTATATTTAACCCTTTCTCCCTCAGTGTTTTCATTCATCAACACGAGAAAATTACAATGCTGATATATTTAACGTTATTATGGGAATTGAATTCATTAGTGTAAACAAAATGCATTTAGAACAATCCCTGGAAAATTATAAAAGCTTGAAAAATGTTATTTGTGGCTTCTGATACTC